CAAGGAGTTCCTTGTCATGCACTGGGTAATTACGCTCAGCTGCTTGCAGCTGACGCGACTGATAACAGATGACGCGCTCCGCGCCATCTGCATCGAATTGCATTAACGCACAGCCGATTGCGAAATCGCTGGCGTCACAGACCACATGAAATGGTCTGTCCTGATCTGCAATCGCCAAGATCGGCGACTGCATCAAGCTTTGCTTGATACCCTCAAAGGAACGCTGGCACTCAGCGTTCCATGACCACTTGACATTTTTCTTGAGCAAGCAAGAAAGATGAACAGTCATCTCGGCGTAGTTGCGCGAGTACTTGTGCAAGTACGCCGCTAGCCCAAGGAACTTCCTTAGCTCCTTGACATCGACTGTCACTGGCCAGTCCGTGATCGCCTTGATATTTTCGGGATCAGGGCGTACGCCGTGTTTACCCACGATGCACCCAAGAAGTGGTTGTTTGCTAGCCGCGAATATACACTTCTTGAGGTTTGCGTACAACTTATGCTTGCGCATAAGTTGAAGAACCTGACGAACGTGAGGTCTGTGAACTTCAACGTCCGTCTTTCCGTCCATAGCCCGACTATGGACGAACACATCGTCGAAGTAACTCGGTGCGAAGTCTCGCACCGGTCTCAACAGATTTGTGACACATCTGTTGAATGTTGCAGGAGCATTACTCAGCCCCTGTGGCATAACTAGCCACTCCCACAGCATCCCGTTGGGGGTACTCACTGCTGTGAACGGGATGTCCCGTTCACGCATGAGGATCTGATAGAATCCATCCATCAGATCCATGGACGAAAAGATGGTACTTTTTGACATACCATCTATGATTACGTCCTTCCTCGGTATCGGCGTCTGAGCCGGTACCGTTGCAGCATTCAATTTGTTGAATGCGTGCACTATCCGCCATCCTCCTGTGGCCTTTCGCACACAGAAGGTCGGAGAGCTGTGAGGGGATGTCGATTCCCTCACATGGCCCACTGCTATGCGATCGGCAAAGAACTTGTCGATCACTAGTACTTGTTCACGAGGCAGTGGCCACTGCTTCATGACACATTACTTCGAGCCCGGTTTGAGCTCGATCTCGTGTCGAGTGCCTTTGTCCTTAGGCAACTCGCAAGGTACGGATTCAGGGAACACGTCCTTGAATTCGATCAAATCCTTATACAAAGGATTGGCCTGAAGTGACTCCCAGGATTGAGACGTGTATCGCTCAATCCGAGTCTTCTCATCGAGGACACTTTCGTCCATCGATGAGCTGCTGAGAACCCGTTCGTTCTCAGCAAATACTGTGGCCGACCGAATATCGGCCACATACTCATCCTCCGTGACGAGTATGCAGATCTGCTTGACTTTGCCACTACGCAGATCACGCAAGAACCGTTTCGGTTCTAGCGTTGGCAACTGAGTTATCTCCGAAGTTGACTTCGGAGGCACAATCAGATCAAGCGTATAAGCGCCTACGCTTGATCCGTCATTAACCAAGACGTTCAACGTCTCGGTTTCTTCCTGGGAACTTGCTTCCACAGGTTGCTGAGGGCCTGATCCCTCAGCAAGTGACTCTTGAGGAATTCCTTCCTCAAGCACGTGGGGACTTATTCCCTCGACGTCTTCTGACTGTGGCTGTGCAACCACAGTCAGGCACCGATCCTCTACGGTCGACTCTCCAGTCGACCTAGGATTTCCATGTTGCCCTTTGTAGGCAACAGGTTTCTTACTTCTAAGATGCTGCCCGCTAGGCATGCATCCATGTCCCGGTCCACTCGACTTATTCGAGTGGTGGACCTTCGGCGCAGCCTGTACTTCTGTACAGCCGCCGGGAGCTTGCTCCACAGTGTAGTGATCAACTACACTGTGATCTTGTGCAGTCGTGCTAACGACCGTACCTCAAGTGAGGCCATCGCACTCACTCGCAGAACATCCACACGCTTGTGGACGCTCCAAGATGTTCATCAGATGGCCATCTGATGAACAAGCGGCAGGCATCTTCACGGATCGATGCTGCCAGCTCACCCTTGGCTCGTACCTTCTGAGCCAAGGTAATCCCAGGATGACATCAAATTTGTCATCCAGATCCAGTACGATGAATTCATCATCGTACTGTTCGCCCTCTAACGTGTAGTGGATTCCTACTACACGTTTCTCAACGGTAATCGATGCGCCTGTTGCAAGGCGCACCGTCATCCTCGTGAGGGGAATGTCGCGCTCAACGAACTTGAGCCTACGACCCTCTAGTGACTGGCGACGAACAAAGTTGTTCGACGCCCCACAGTCTACTAGGGCACGAAGCGACAAATCATTTGTCGCTTCCAACTTCAAGGTGATGAGCGAAACGTCATCACCAGGTGCAGAGACACACAATGATTGTGTATCTGGAGCAACTTTCGTCAAGAGATTTGCAAATTCTCTTGAGGTTGCTGGATCAGTAGGGCGCTCCGCCCCTACTGACCCCGACCATTTTTTGATGGTCCGTCTCGCTGTTGCGGCTTCGCAACAGCGCTGGACCCACGACCATTGCCCTTTCTGGCGAATGGTCGTCCATTTCGCTCAGTACTGTTTGGTACTGGGCGTGGAGCACTACACTCGTATGCGTAGTGCCCTAACTTCTGACAGCGATTGCACCTCTGCAATCGCTTGTTGTTAGAAGAGCGAGGTCTCTCGCTCTCAACATAGCAGAGGTCCATTGGTTCTGGACCTCCGATCTCTTGTCGTCTCGGTGGACGATAAGAGTTTGAGCTAGCATGAGCCTGTCTCATGCTAAAGTCTTCCTGTTCCGCGGCTGATATCGCATCTTCCAGCGTATTCAGCTCAAGGCGGAACAGGTGGCTCCTGACGGACCCCTCTGCGAGCCCTTGCATGAACACCGTACTCAACGTGTGTTCATGTACTGGGTTAGCAGTTATAGTACTCGCGAGGAGTCGTATATGTTGTGCGTAAGCGTGCACATCACGCTTACCCTGCTTGAGTTTCAGGAGCTCTGAACGAGCTCTGAACTCAGCGCGTGGCGGCTCAAACGTTTGTCTGAGCCGGGACTTGAAGTCATCTAGCGACCTAAACACGTTTGGGTCGCTACTCTCGAGTCCCAGGGACCAAGTTTTGGCACGCCCTGCCAAGTGGGTTTGAGCAAATGTGAGTTTCATTTGCTCATCTTCGACGCGACGAGCCCTTAGGGCTCTGTCGAGTTCGACAAACCACAGTAACAGGGAGTCTTCCGGGACTCCACTGTACTTGGAGATGTCAACCTTCATGACCTCGGGACGGCGCGCATGCGCCGTCCCGCCCACAGCAGCATGGAACTGCTGCTGTCTCAACAGCTCTGTCTGTTGAGCACCGAGTTCTCTCAACTGCTCGGCCTGTTGAGAGCCTTGCTGGTGAAGCAAGGCTACTTTCTCCCTCACCGTGACAAGTTCATTTTGAATGAACTTGGCTATAGCGGCATGTTGTTGGTCTCTGTCTAGAGACTCCAACATGGCGCTAATGGCGAACTCGCAGACGGTAGAACTCATTCGTTCTACCGCACTCCATTCGATGTCACTCAAATGGGTAAACCCTTCATGCGTGGCGTGAAAGGTCTCTTCATCATCCAACATGTTCATGTTGGATGTTGTGGTACTTGGAAGGAATACGAAGTGCTACCAGGAGTAACGGGGCACACCCTTGCGTGAACTTAACGCAAGGGTATCGGTGCCCCGACAGACGTACACAAGGCAAGCGAGGAAGCGTAGATAAGGTAAAAGCAGAACTGTTATATTAATATAATTAAGTCTTTAACCAGTGTCTCTCTGTTTGACTTAACTTAATTATACTAATCTAACTGAGTGTATGGTGACGTCTCGTCACCACTCATTGCGCGCGTCTTGCGGCGATTGGTGGGTTGATATCATCACGATATCAACCAATGAACAGACTCTTTGGTCGACCCATCAATATCACCACTATTGGTGATATTGTTAAAAGAATATTCAACTTCATATTCTTCATTGTCATTATCTCTCAAATGACAATTTCCATGTAACGGGCTGGCCCGTTACAAGACCCGTCTGCTCTTTAGAACTATATTTGCCACTACTACGATAGTTTTATGTTGTTCCCGTTTGCTCTTAAGAACTGTATCTGTCTTTAGTGCTTTCGTCACGCTGATGCTGCCGCGGACGAAGCGAAGCGGAATGCATGCTGATTGATTGCGCAGCGCAGTAGACGATGGATGTCACAAAAGAAGCTGATACGGTCGTTAAAAGGTGGTGATAATCTGGACATATTTTCGTAGTAGCTGCAAAGCTACTTGTAGTATTGTTGTCTCCAGTGGAGGAAATATTCACACAGCGAAGGTACCTCTGTCCTCTCAATTCATATCGTACATGTAGCACGAAACTTATACAAAGTGCTACGTTCTCAAAGATTAGCTCAAACTACGTTTACGTAAAAATTGGCGCGCGCGTTGAATGGCTGACGTATCCTTTGGCAACATTTTTGGCTTGTTAATAGTTGAGATGTAGTAGGGTTGGTGAGAAATGGACCAAGTGACCGATCAGACTATATTAGACCACTGAGGATTTGTACAATGTTTAGATTCTACGACATTTTGACAGACATGGACACGACAGATTGTAAAGATTTTTGAACTTCTTGTTTTGTAAGTTTGCAGTGGTTGATACCCATTTGAGTTGGCACTTTGTACATTTCTACATTTTGATGCATTTTCTTTTCGTTGTTTATCTCGTGCTTTATCTTCATTAAAATTGACTTTTCGGTGCTTTTAATTGATGCGATTATCTCGCATTTTCATATGTTTAGTCTAATCTGTTGGCTCATTATTGCGACTTCATCAAGTATACCTCCCTTACCGTTTCTAACTACGATCAGCTCGAGCCAGTATACACCAGTGCGATCATATCGATCGAGAATCACAACGGTAGTACTGATACAGAAACAGCGTGTAGCTCCAAGAACGCCACCTTATCAATTGTCCAAACATTCCAACTCGCCATTTGCTTTGTGATGAATGGTGTCGCCTTTGCTTTACACTAAGGAGTCGCTTGATCTGTGGGCGTGCGCGCGGTCCCCAGAGTTGGCACCAGATCTCGCACAGCTCCTGCAAGACGACGCGCCTCCCAATGACCGTAACGGTATCGGTGAGACAGCGCTGCACGTCGCGGCAACTTCTGGCAACGATGAAGCAGTTGCGCTGCTGCTCCGGTACGGGGCGAGTCTGTCGATCGCGGACTGGGTGCGTTGCTGCCGACAGACGGACAGAGTGTGCGTGGGAGAGAGCGAAGGAGTGTCTGGCTGACCCATTTACGTTCGGTCGGGCTGTTTGTGAGTAGGAGTCTGGTTGGACACCTCTACATCGCAGTCTGTATCACCAGCGCCTATCCAGTACGTGGTAACCTACAGGCGCAAAGCTTCTACTTGTCGTACAGCTTTGGGATCTGATTGTCATGTCAAATGGTGTTGTCGACCAAAAGCGTCGCTGCTGCTTTTGCGCCACGCCCAGACGCGCTTTGGACGGTCATATTTGCATGAATATCTGCACGAGACGCGAGATCATGCGCAGCAAAGCCCGATGCAGCTGCTATCGTCGAGGTTGTCAAAAAAAGATACTGGCAGCATTGTCGAGCCTGACAGTCATGGAGGACTCGTCTATACCTTTGGAAAGAGCGACTATCAGGTGCTGCATACAGTTGTCTCTGGTTTACAAATTGCTACGAGTAACTGACTGGCCCTCGTCGTGTACTTCTGACGGCCTACAAGCTCGGGTACCATTTGCCAAAGGCCGATGTACTATTGACTCCACGGCTTGTGGGGATCCCGACCAGCTTTGCTATCGTTCAAGTAAGTGCCAGCAAGTACCACACTATAGCGTTGAATGCAGCAGGTGAGTGTTTTGCGTGGGGTTTTGGCAAAGGCGGCCGTCTCGGCACCGGATCTGAGTTCGAGTACGTGAGTCACCATCTTTTTGCTCGCCGATTTCCTGCTGACTGATCGTTGTGTGTTGTTTGGCCAAAAGCCTGGTTGAACCTACACAGGTAATGTCGCTGAGTAGTACGCCTTTGAAGAAGGTTGTCGCGGGGGAGAATCATACAATGGCGCTTTCTCGAACTGGCCAAGTCTATTCATGGGGATCAAATAGTTTTGGTCAATTGGGACATCCTGGAAAGTCAAGCTCGTTGCAAAGTCGCCTAACGCCCAAGCGTATCGAAGCTTTTCGGCTCCAAGTTGTCGCTGACATTGCAGTGTCAGGATGTCATTCTGCTGCTATTGCTGCGGACGATGGCGCCGTCTACTCTTGGGGTAGTAATCGCCGGGGCCAACTTGGACGCAAAGAAGGATGTGGAACAGACCAAGCCGATGGTACTCCGCGCACCGTTGATGCGCTGCGACCATGTTGTCCTACGAATGTTATATATGGCGATTACGATTCAGTGCGAGCTGAGAAACTTGCGTTGTCGGATTGGCACACGTGTGTAGTACTGCGCTGCTCTCGCAATGGTCGCAGTCTTGGTCAAGTGTGGCAGTTTGGGTACGGCTCCTACCGTCCCAGTCGTGTGAAGTTTTCGTCCTCCGCTTTTGCGAATAACGCCGTTATGTGCGATACGTGGATACCCACGTCCAAGCAGCACGACATTGATATTCTGGATATTTCTTGCGCCCAAAACCACTCAATCGCGCTGAGTGCCAGTGGTTCCGTTTTCACGTGGGGGCACAACGTACCTGCGCTGTCGCATCAATCGAGCGGGAGCTTGCGCGACCGGCATGCCGAACCATTTGGAAACCACATAGCGGTATCTCCATCGCCTAGCGCTCCGCAGATGGTGCAGTTACGCAAATACGGCCCTGCCGCAAGTGTTTGCGCTTCTCAAGACCATTGTGCTGTCGTTACCCAGCAAGGCGATCTCGTGACGTGGGGCTGCGGCCAACAGGGTGTGCTGGGCCACGGGCGTAGCAACACGTGGCAACCGTGTCCCAAGCGAGTTGCTGGTGTGAAGAAAGCAATTGCAGTGGCAGCTGGTCATCAGCATTCGGCGGTGCTGATAGCACCTGTACATCCCGCTTTCAGTAATGTGGCAGATGTCACTAGTGAGAGCATGGTTCCGTCATTAATGGAGCTGGTGGAAAAGAAGCTTGCAGCTTGTGTAGACATCACAAATTGTGTGCTGTTGTGGCAACACGCTGAGCGCTACGCTGCGCTTCGTTTGCAAACGTACTGCTCACGGTATATGCAAGAAAACTGGGACGCTATTTTAGACATAGTGGGGGGAGAGCGGATGGAGACGCTCTTCGATGTGATGCTGCCGCCAATGGAAGAAGTGGTAAAATTGGAGAATGCAGTCGATGTAGGTGCGCCGAAGAAGTACATGAAGGAAAAGAAAGCGGGCAAGCAGTCATGTGCAAGTCGAGGCACGCGTGGACGCCAGAAACACTCGTCTTGTGTGGCTCAGAAGGAAACGGACGCTGCAGCGAAAGAATTGGACGATGACTGTTCCACTGTCTTGTCAACCTCTGGCAAACCCGATGAACGACGCAGGAGCAAGAGTACCAAGTTTGTGCCGTTGCAATCGTTTCTATCGAGCAAGACTGGCACCGCCATCACACGTGATTGCAAAAGCCCTTGGGAAGCCCGCGCCTCTGTCACGTTAGTAAAAGAAGACGAAATGTTACCGGCGCGGGACAAGTGTGCGTCTTCTGCATCGCCAATATTCACGCCCGGCACAGACGCTCTTTGCGTCGATCCACAAGCGTTCCCCGAGCCTGTGGCTTCGGTACGTAAAGATGGCACCACTGGCACCGCGTCAAGACAGCGCAGAACAAACACCGGCAGCCAACGTTCGTCAAGCCCGCGAGTTTCTGTTTCGCCGAGTCCGGTACCAGGCAAACACGTGCTGGATCACGACGGTAATCAGCACAAGCAGCTGACAGCGTTTTCGCTCAACTTGTTTCTCAAGCGACCCGCTCGTCGGACTACTCGTAGTGAGCGCGAAAAACCAGCTGCGCGGACATGGATAGAGTCATCTCCAGAGCCGAGTGCTGTAGCTCTAGAGCAAAAGAGTCCGCCGCCAAAAACGCTGAAGGAGATCCAAGAAGAGGAAGAAACATTTGCAGCTCGCGAACGAAAGGCGAAGGTCGGCCTCGGTGGTGGTGTGGGGCAGCGATCGCAGTCGACGATCAACAGCTGGGGGCTCGTTCGCCCGCCTGGTCATGTGTCATTAGCGGATGTCCAAAAGCTTCAGGAGGAGCAAGAGTTCATACAGCAACAGCATCAGATCTTGGCGGAGATTGAACGAGAGAGAGCGGAGAGAGCTCGAGCAGTGGCTGCAGCGGCGCAAAGCAAGCCGTCGGCAAAGCGGAGAGATTCCGGGACTCGCAAGCAAAGGCGCAAAGTGGGGAATGTCGCGAGCGGGAAGGACGTGTCCAGTGCAGCTACGAGTGGCCGCGCGAACCAAGAAAAGAAGCAGAAGAACGCGAGAGAGCGCAAAGCCGCCAAGAAGGCTGCGGGCGGGACGTTTGCAGCAACTGGGAAGCGCATCGTGGACTCCACCCGAAGCGCAGGTCAAGAAAGAAAGGCTGGAAACTCTGCCGCTGCGCAGCGTGGTGGCACTATGGCCGAAGCAGAAGCGCTTCGTCCAAGGCCGTCTCAGTCACGGCCGACGTGAGAACCCCACCCCACGAATTGACCCAGTCGTCTATCTGAACAGGCGTATTGCATGGTAAGAGACGATGGCCTCGTGTGCTGTAGATGTGAGCAAGGTGACGCTCTTGTCGTGGCAGAGTGCCGCTCGTTTCTTGCGGCTTGACAGTGGATTCGACGCGGGAGATGCGACGCGACTGCATTGCCGCAGCATCGACGATACTACCGCTGCATTGATACGTCTGAGGTGCCGCAGATCGTGAAGCCGCTTCAGCAGACACGCATCGGTCTCGTGGCGTAGCATTTTGTAAAAGTTGACACAGGCTGTCTGGGGCACAGGTATAGTAAAGTCGATTGGTGTTTCCGAGACCTGTTGCAGATTTGTAGTTTCTTCTTCTGCGGCTGCAACACGCGGGAAACAGAAGACAGTCATACGCAAAGATCCGCGTGAATTCAGCTTAGATGGAAAGGCTGCAGCCCACTTGAGGCTCTCGGGCGCAAGAGAGCTGGGACAGAGCCCATGCGGTGCAGTAGAGCACGTCGAGTGTGGCTCAGGTCGCGCCGCTTCGTGAGTGTAACGCTACGAATCCACTCGAGCGTCAGAGAGGGACCCGCCTTTCCGCCGTTGACGCCGTATCTCACACATCGTACGATTGGCCAAATATGATCAATAATGCTCTGAATTGTTTCGCCTTTGGCCAATCAGGAAACTCGCCCATGGCATTTTGAGCTTCGGCGCGAAAGGCGAGCCAGCCCGCGGTATCTCGCCCATAAAATGATGGCGACGCCTTTTACGGCCGCGTCGTCCGCGTCATTCGTCGTCCGACGCGAGAAGCGCCGGCGCCAGAAAGCGAGTGCTCCGACGTAAGTGCTCAGTACTTTGTCTTCTTCCTGTGCGTGTGCGTGTGGTGTGTGTGGTCCGACTGACTGTCGCGTTCGTCTCTGTGTTTGTTTCGCTTCACAGGGGCACGCGACGCACTCCTCGACGAGGCTTTAAGTTTAGCGATAAGAAAGACAGGGAAGCGAATGAGGCGCCCGTGGAGGCGACGCCTGTGGGAAAGAGAGCCCCCGGGACCCCTGCGAAAGACAACACGTTTGTGTTCCGCGTCCGAAAGGACGATGAGAAGGAGGTCGACAAGCAGCACGAAGTGGACGCAGCTGCGGTGTCGACAGCGCTGCGAGAAAAGCAAGAGAAAGCGGCCAGGGCTGAGATGCGACGACTGGTGCGTCAAAAAAAGCGCGAGGAGGCGGCGCGAGAAGCGCTGAACGAGGAGGAGATGAAGAAGAAGAAGATGTCGACCGATCAGGTGTCGCTCTATCACATGGTGCAGCGACAAGTGAAGCGTGAACTCCGTAAGGTGAGAAAAGAGTTTCTCACCTCAGCCGCACGTCGAGACATAATGCAGATCAGCGAGACGAGCCTGCAGGCCATGAAGCAGGAGCTGATTGTTTTCATGGCCGAACACCCGCCAGGGAACGTCACGGTACGGTCTTCATCTCTTCTTTTTGGTGTCTCGTAGGTATGGTTCATCGCATCTCATGTACATCGATATCTATATCTACGTTGTGCAGATCAAGATTTCGAACCCCGAAAATGCTCGGATACGTGCAGCAATCGAGACGTACGACCAGCAGCTTAAAAGGTAAGCTCATGGTATGAACGCTCTACGACGCTGCTACGACTGACCTTTCTGCTTGGCATGTAGCTTGGAAGAAGAAGAGAAGCAGTGGCTAGAACTGAAGACTACAGTTGAGATGGACAGGCAATTTGCATGCAGCAACGCAACAATCGAAGCCAGGAGCACAGACTCGGAGTCCAATACAGTGAGTACTCAGGACAAGCCCGATATCGAAGAAACGTTGCAGCAGGAAGAGCTGTCGTGCGGATTGGAAGTCACCCGAGGTGTCAATGCACTCCAGCGCTCGGCGCTGCAGCAACTCAATTCGACTACGGAACAGGTACGTTCATGAGATCGGCTGTGGCACATACATGCTGTCGTCATTGACACGCTCACATCAACGTTGACTGACGCTCGTTTGTTTGTTGGTCTTGCTCCCGCTGAAATCGTTCTCTTCAGCTGACGCTGCTGGACGCGTCCATGCTGACAGTAAACAGGTTAATAGTGGAAGCCGAAATGAAGAAGGCGCGGGTCTTTGACGCATATCATGACAGTGCCTTCAAGGGCTACGGTAACGTAGCGCGACCAAAGGAAAGTCTGCGCGCGCTGCTCGAGTTGCCGGCCCGGGGCGACGTGCCGTAAAATAATTACGATGGATTGTCTAATAGTATAGTAATGCTAAATAGTGTATTCGCGTAGCGGTCTAGCGATTGTCAAGCTCGCGTCGTTACTGACGACGTACCAACGAGGCTGTACGTATGACACGTTGACCTTGCTAAATGACGGATTACCCGGGCTTTTTTCTGCGACGTCAGGACGAGACGGCAACGCAACTGGCGACAGCAGATCCTCGATAGTGCGGCCTCTGACGCTAGTTTGAGCCCTGTCGGAGGCGCAAGTCGTGGCAGCCGCCGGATATTCGATCGCCATGTCGTGTGTACGTGAGATGCCACGAAGCGCAGCGCCAGCAGTAACATGCCGGTCGTCGCAATGGTAGCGATTGCAGCTCTGTGTCGGCAATAGCAATCGGTAGAGGCAAGTGCGAGCCAGTTGTTGTTGTTATTGTTGTTGCTGTTGTTGTTGTTAAATATGACGTCTATGCCTTCCCGTCCGTTTGACAGACCATTCCGTACGAGGCTTAAATACTGGCTTCAACTACCATCCACGCAAACCAACGCACACTTCGATCGCGTGCGCCAGCTGCCGCTAGTATCGCCTAGCTCCATGTAGACCTGCGCTCCGCATTTATGTTACTAGTGTCCGCATCTCCGGCTGCAGTAGTTGCATCAGCCTACCGCTTCTTGGAGCTGAAAAAGAAAATCTCGTTCTCCGGAATTGTGCCGAGGCGTCCAAAGTGCGTCTTGCGGCTGCTCACCCAGCGATTCGTTGCCCGAGGTGCGTGCAGTGGCAGCACGCTGGCGCCATAGTCGTCCTTCTCCAGGTCGTCCCAGCCCCGTGCCAGCTTGTACACGAGCGCTAGAAGCACAGAGACCACGAAGACCGTCCCAGCGAGCATGAGCATCTCCGTCTCGTTCACGTCGCGTCCAAAGGCGTTCGAGCTGCCAAAGACCACTATCATTCTGCCAGCGTATGCCTTTGTCGCAAGTTGTTCCGTTGCGAGCGTCTCAGGAAGCGCAGCGGTCGGGACTGGAGCAGTAACAAACGCTGCAGCTGTCGTCCGTTGTCGTAGTTGTAGTGCCTCTTGCTGCTGATGCGTTGGAAGCAAATTCAAAAGTGACAGCCGTTTCGGCAAATTTTTGTCTCGCCCAATAGCGCGCGTGGCGACGTGGGTCATAGTGGGCGCATGTGGGTCATAGTGGGCGCACGTGGGCTAATCTTCGACAGCAGCGTGCAAACGCATAATCATGGAGTGGACACGCACAAGAAACAGGGCAACGTACCGCACGCACCTACTCCGGCGCACCGTGCCGTGATTGTGGCAGCTCATGCCCGCGCAGGCCCTAGGAAAAAGTATTGGCGCGTACAGGTGGGGCCGCCACTTCGACACGCTCCTGTCTTGACTTAATGTGACATCTCATTGACCGCCCGGGAGCCGCCCGGTGCAAACGGTACCTGTCATTTGGTCGAGACAAATGCAGTAGCGTCCGTGAAGAGAACTAGTCTGCGTCGCTTCCACCGCATTCAGGTGATCCGAAGCAACCGCGAGCTGATTCAATTGCCACATGTGGAGCAGTACCTGCGCGAAGGTGCTGCTGACCAGATAGTTGTGGTAAGAACGACGTGTCTCTCCCCCTCAGCTCGTGGCCTATGAGTTGACTGAAAGTTGTCACTAGTTTGCCGTCCAAGGCAACGATGAGGACTGGCTTCGCAGCAGCACTCGGTCCGCCCCTGGCTTTGCAGGGACCGAGTTGGACAGATAGACCTTATTCCCTCCATAACAGGTGCAACAAACAACCTCCTCGTTGAGAAGTTCTCGCAGCCTTGCGTCCAGCACACACTGACTGGAAACCGTTATCAAAGTGTTCGTGAATTTGACGTGGCTAGTGTTATCCGACGCAAATGCTCAGCTACTGTCTGCTTAGCTCAGCACTGAGTTGCGACACTCGAGTGCCCCACTGAAGAGCTGCGCATCGAAAGCACAGGCAAGACGTTCTTTGGCAGGTGCAGGCAGTTTGCCAGAGCGAGCCGGCATCGTAAAAATTGGTACAAAGCCGGACGTCCGCGCGGCTTGCTGACTACTACAGATACGTGCTTCAATGTCGCAGCGGTACCTTCTGACACAATTTCTGACGCTGCCTATCCAATCGAGGGGACAAAAGGTCTGATGAGCGGGATTTTCAGCCACCCGAGCGCCTGACAGACGCGTGGAGCTTGCGTTGCTGCACCAACTTTTACACTTTCTTCTCTGGCTCTGTGCACATTTGTTTGCGGTCCACCTCGGTGTGTGTACGTCGTGACGCAAGTTTAGACGCTGAAAGACAGACACGTTGCGTGGTATATAATGCTGATAAACATGACTACAAAAGGTGGTGGCCGCCGTCTCGTCCCTGCTTCTTCACTTTTTGTTGCCACTCTTGTGCGCTGACTTGACTTGTTCGTGGCACTGGCGGAACTTTGCCCACTCCTGCTTTCCAACGTCAGCCATCGATCTTCCCCACTTCAGTACATTGAGCATCGCTTACCTGTGTACAAGCTGAGACGCGGCCATTGTTGAGCTTCATACAGGCTGACAAAGCACCACGAGACATGCGTCAGTCAAAAGAGCGGCGTCCACTACAAGACAGTCCCGTTGCGGCAAACGATACTAGGAACGCCGCGTAGCAATATCCGCGCGCAGCTCACCGTCTACGAGCAGGTATGATTCCTCGCAGCCCGTGTCGTGCACGGCGCTCTCGTGATGCGCGTCGTCTCCTGGCTTGCACGCCAGGCATTCCTTCGGGGGCATGTTGGCCGACGCTCTGCGTTTTTGTGGCGCTGCTGTCCGTTGGCGGCGTTTTATTTCGTCCAATCATGCGCCCCCGATCGTGCCGCACCTATCGTCCACTCTCACGACGCGCGATGCGCCTCTTCTACGCGACGACGGTAGAAAAGAGACGTTGTGTGCTCGACTCTGTGTGCCAATCGCCGCGCGCGAGTCGGCCGGCCACACTTCGTTTCGAGTCGGACGAGCGAGCGAACGATGGCGCAGCTGCACGACGACGACGCCGCCGCCGCCGCCGCCGTCGAGTGGCTGGACAGCGAGTTGGAGGACAGCCCGCGCTCGAACGACGGCATCGGCGGCATGTTCAGCAGCAGCCCCAACAACAACGCCAAAGAGGCCGCGCCCCGGGGCGTGCGCTGGTCGGACCACAAGCCGCAGATGCAGCGCCCGGCCGCCGTGTCGTACGCTGGCTCGGAGGACGTGGAGGGCGTGGAAGGTGACATGCGCTCGTTCTACGGCCCGCAGTTTGCAGCGCAGCCAGAGACGGCCAACTACCGCCTGCCGGCCAAGTCCGTGGGCCAGCAGCGCTTCCAGGACATGCCGATTGAGCTCGTGGCCGACCACGGCGTGGCCGCTAAGCGTGCCCTCATCCGCCGCATTCATCAGGAGTCTATGACGCAGTTGGCTATGGGGTGCCAGGCCATGCTGGTGCGCGGGGCTTCGGGCAACTACTACGTGTACCACCTCGAGATCACGAGTGAATACTATAAGCAGAAGTGGGTCGTTTGCAAGCGCTACTCGGAGTTGTACCGCCTACGGAAACGGCTGCTGGAACGTCTTGCAGCACACAAGAAGCAGCAGGGATGTTCCGTATGCGGTGCCGTGCGCGACCAGCTCAAGGACGTGGGCTTTCCTCGTCGCATTGTCATGTTCAAAGACCCTTCGACTCTTGTTGGTAGACGGACAGCTGGGCTCGAAGAGTTCATTGTTGCCCTGTGTGAGTACCTCGGCGCTGAACAGCAAGCGGAGATCTGTGGCGAGATCCTGTCCACACGGTTTCTCGTCAAGGAGTTTCTCCAGTTTCCACTCGATCATGAGCGGCAGCATGTTCGATCGATCCGGCAGCTCAAGTACGTCGACCCACGAGATGTCCACGTCGACTCAGACTCTTGCCCCATTTGCCTTTGCGAGTGGACCGAATTAGATGGCAACCAGCTCGTGCTGTCGCCATGCGGCCACTTTTTTCACGAGCATTGCATCAACGAGTGGTACCGCACTCGCTTCGACTGCCCCATCTGTCGAACAATCTCAGGCGAAGGAGAGGGCAGCAATGCGTGCGAGCACTGAACGAAAGCAGCCTGGCAGACGCGAATGACGTACCACCTACGAGATACATACACGTACAAAGAGTTGTGAGGCCACAACACACTGCGACAACTAACAAACACTTGTGCTTTAGTTGTTGCGTCCTTGATCTACGTGCTGTTCTGCTCTATGGCGTGGCGGCAGGTCGGCGCGTGCATCATTTCTACGCCTCGGAAGAGGTTGACGAGGTATATTGCCGCACGTCGAAACCCTTGTTCGAGAACTGGAGGAGATCGTCACTGTCTTTGCCGATAATAACAGTGCGTCTGTTTGGCACGTTCCCGCTGAAATACTTGACCGCGACGTCCACGAGCTCTCGGCGCGTCAAGGACAGGTATTGCTCACGACGGCGCTGGCGCATCTCGTTGGTGATGCCACGCAAAAAACTCATTCGGCCTTTCATTGATGGAGTCTTGGGGGCGTCGATACTTGCAAACACCGACAGTATCGCTTCCTGGACGTCTCGATCAGAGAACTTTCCACCGACAGCCCACTGACGTGCACCTGCGTAAGCGTCAAGCGTCTTGAACGTGTTTGGGTCGTAGTGCGAGCTCATCGACAAGGAGCCCTCGTTTTGAGACACGCCAGACCCGTACGCCCCACCTTGCTCACGCACTTGCTGATGCAGGTAACACGATGACATCATCTGTGCCAACACAGTAAGCGGTACATGGTCGTCGTGAGCAAATGACACTGACGGCTGCGTCTCCACGACGGAATGCACAGAGACGGGAAAGGCAAAATAGTTCTTGCTTGGCGCAATGGGCAGCTTGAGCTCCTCGTTCGACAGCGTCAGCGACGCAACGTCGACAAGTGAGGAGGATCCAGCGAGCGGCTGAAGAAATTTCGACACCAGCGACTGTTCGATCTGACCACGAAGCTTTTCTTCCGTTACAACAGATAGGCGCAGAGTCGTGGGCGAAAACACGACCCGCGCAATGTCCTGAAGTTTACCAGCGAGTTGGCGTAGATCATCATCGGAGCACTGTGCCCAGCTCTGGAGCTGCTCAATCCGCGTCAAGCCGCTGTACAGCTCGTCGTACATACTTGCAAAAGTAAGACCCACGCGTGAGCGTATACCGGCTAAGGCGGAACCTGATGACGAGATGCTGCTGCTAGCGGTGGACGCGCTACTCTGCAGCATAAGACGCAGCTGTCGTAGATTCTCTTCGCTTTGAAATTGTGTGTCAACGAGCAACTCGAGCAGAAGACTCAGCGTCGCATCCACCTTGTGCGGCAAGCACATTGTACCAACCAAAAGGGCTTGCTTGCTGGGCGCATCGCTCGCATCCACAAGCGATGGCGCCGTCATAGCTGAGCACGATATGCCTCCACTGCAGTTTGCGATTACCGTGGACAGCTCGTCGTAAGCATATCGTGTGGTACCCAAGGATCCAAATACCGTCGTAAAGACGTTAATGTATCGGTGGTACGCTGGGGGCAGCGCTTCCAAATCGAAGAGGAGGCGCAAGTAAGAAACTTCATTGGTCGACGGCACGCGCACGAACTCCGTCGATGTCGAATGAAGATGTGTCTTGTCGATACGGTCAAAGTTTCCTTCTTCGACGCGCGGAATGTCGTCCAGCGTCAGTGTAGGCAGGCATTCCACGGGCTGCTCTTTCTGCTGATGACGCTCAAGCTGCGCTGTGGCCTCAGCGATTCGATCTAGGTCAGTGTTGACTTGCTCAAGTAGTGTCGCGGCTAGATTCTCACGCTCAGAGAGTTCTTGGTTTCGCACAAAGTCTTCGGAAGGCAACATGAGTATCTGAACTTCGCGCAAATCGTCACGCATAAAATAGTCGCGCACATAGGTCTCGATGTACTTTGGGTCGCGAGTCATTTCTTCATTCAAGCGCTCCAGTAAAGGATTCAGTTGCAGATTATCAATGATGTCGCCTCCATGAGCCCAGGCAGAGCTGATGCCATGCATGAGCTGCAAGCCAAAGTTGCCCGTCACATGCTTTAGACTTAGCTCCAGTTGGTGCAGTAGACCATCCACTCGTCCTTTTTCAAATCCGTCTGCTACTACCTTCTCCAACGCGTCGCGCACAGCCTTGCGGATGACGGGAATCGCATCTTGTCCACCCTCGATGCCCTCTACACCTACACCGAACGTAGGGTAGTAGGTAGACGTGTCAAAGCCCGTACCAACTGAAAAGTCTTGCGCAAGATTCGAGTCAATCAGTGCCTTGTATAATGGTGATGCCGGGCCATTTGTCAACAAATAGCCAGCTATCCGCAGCACAAAATTTGGGAAAGGGTCTGTTGACTTCACGTCGACAAACTTGCTGATGCAATACTTGGTGTTAGGATCAGTAGAGTCGCTGCTCATGTTGCTGCTGGGGCCTTGTATCACAATCAGATCTGCGTTCTCTGGGTCGGTCTTATAAATGTTGAACCCCTCTGTATTCACTCGAGTAGCTGCCGATTCGGTGCAGTAGTCAAACTTGTTTAGGACCTCCTGGTCCAGATAGGCCAAGTGGTCCGTGAGTGGCAAGTCACCATAAGAGTAGAAGCAGCAGTTGGACGGATGGTAGTTTTTCTTGTGAAATGCGCACAACTCTTCGTACGTCAACGACGGAATGTGCTTCGGGTCACCTCCACTCACGTGCTCGTAGATGGTGCCACGCATAAGTTCCTGTTGCAATCTCGTACCGAAGAGGTTGTTGCTATCGGAAAACACTCCCTTCATCTCGTTTAGCACGACTCCCTTGTACACAAGTTGTCCATCTCCGTGCTTGGTATCCTCACTGATTTCGAGCCGATGCCCCTCTTGCAAGAAGTCAAGCGGATCCAATTTGGGGAAAAAGGCTGCGTCAAGATATACACTCATTAAATTGCGCCAGTCTTTGGCGTTGGTCGTCGAAAACGGATACATCGTGTGATCTACTCCCGTGAGAGCGTTCATGTACGTGTTCAGACTGCGCTTGATCATGTTGAAGAACGGGTCGCGCACAGGGAAGCGCTTCGAGCCACATAGCGCTGTGTGCTCCAGAATATGCGCTACACCCGTCGAGTCGCTCGGTGGCGTGCGGAACATGACGGCAAAAACATTGTTCACATCCTTTGCATCGATGTGCAGGTACCTGGCCTTCGTGGGCTCGTGACGCAGCTCCAGGGCGTCCACGCCATACTCAGGCACAGTCGCGACTCGCTCAAGTGTAAAGTTGTGGTACGTCTCGCCCACTTGCAGCGACTTGCAGCCCTGTCCCCTCTTCGAGACACGAGGGATTGAAGAGCTGAGACATCGTAGGCGACGAATGCGACGTCCAGCTGGCGCTAGGGACGTGTGGCGCAGCATGACACCGCTTCGTGCAAAGGTGTGCTGGCTGGCTGCTATGAGTCGACAGATGCGAGAATGGACTTTTGAAGGTTAATTCGAAATCGCACACGAAGAAAAGGGTACTATGTGCTTGACAAAAACGTAAGATGTAGGCGTGACTCAATGGGAAAGCGCCACAGATCACCTGTTTTTTGCTGATTGAGACCTACCACTCACAACTATATTCTGCTGGCCTCCTGACATGCGAGAAGTGTGATTCAATAGCTGCGCACCGATCTGTGGACTCGGCCATGTATACCAGTAATTTAGTCGAAGATTAGATCATAATTCGGAGTGATGCAACAGGTAACATGTTACACAAACTTGACATTTATGATGGCGTCAATGTAAAAATTATCGCTGCAGATATTCATTCAACAATATCTCCCGAAGCGGGTCATTTTGAGAAAAGATTGCCTGTGAAGCCTACGTGCGGCGGCACTAACTAGCACTTGTGGCGAACATGGTCATGATACCTACAGTAAATGCTAGGCGCACGCAAAGTATGTCGAGCAAGTAGTCAGCTCACGTGGTTGTAGCTTGACTGATAGAAAGTAAGGTTGTAGGAAGAATTGGAGGTAGACCTGACTACAATATTCATAAATCTCTTGTTCTTTTATATAGCTGAGCTAGTCTAATTCAGCTGACTGCGCTGCTCTGCACGTATCGTGAAAGTGAGATAGCGGAGCACCCGATATGTCATAAGTGTACGTAGCTTATCATGTGACCAGTTCACGTGACTTTTACGAACACCAATATAGGTAGCTTTTACTATCACCAAAACAAGCGCGGGGTACGCCTTGACATCTGATATCACTGTGTGGTGCATCTGAGGATCATGGATCCATGTATTATGAACTTGCGTGGTAGTAGAAGCTCCAACTCCAGTATCAATGCTTTTTCCACCACACTTAATCTGATAGGAGGCGATCGAAGGTACGAGTTTGACAGTACGCCGGCCAGATGTCAGTACCATTTATTAGTCTAAATAGGCAAAAAGTATCGTGCCACAGTCGCAAAGTACAAAAAACATGTAATTGACGCAGCTGAGTAATGAAATATCTTTCTTCGACCGCAAGGCTCCAACAGACAGAGATAATGAGAGAAGAGGTTGCACGACGTAGCAATCCGATACATACGAGTAACAGTTTACTATTGCGCCAAGATGATGCATGCGCATCGGCTAAAACGCTTGAGATTTATATCTCAGAGCTAGGGGCAGTCGAAGGAGATTGCGCATTAGTTAAGTTCGCCAAGCTTAAACTGTATCAACCAAGCTCGACGCAATTGAGCCAATGCGAAGAGGTGGAGGATAGCATATAAACCTAGCCAGACGTGCTAATTATTGGGCCTTTCGGGTCGATCTTTACGAATCTTGTAGTTTGAAGCCGTATGCGAGCGTAAAGCGGAGCTCAGACTCACGACTGAACTGCCCCGTGGAAAGTTTAGGGCTTATGCCGAGCTCCTAGACTGGAGGCAAGATTAGCATCATTACGCTTATGCGGTGAAGTGATATGTATAAAAAACAATCAGCATGATCAGTTGATTTGTTGTCGGAGTTTTAATTGCTCAGATGCGATAACAAAACTGCCTAAGCATTCGAAATATTTCTTTTGGGTACGCGATGTGGGACGCAGCCAGTTTTCCGAAAACAAGTTTCTGTCTAAATCGATCATCTAACGGCTCATTTGTATGGCGATCACTCGTATCTCCCGAAGAAAGGGTTGACGCGGTAGCTTCTGCCTTGATAGCGCCAAGCTGCAAATAAAAAATACTGAGCTCAATTTGATGGCGTACGTCGCGTCTGCTCGAATTGAAGTGCAAGCAGACTTACTGATGATAATTGATCTCGGTGCTCTTTATAGCTTGCGTACAATGTATGCAAGAAGCGTTTAATCAACCAAGAAAGCTTTCCAGAGGGAGAAAGGAAACAGTAATGAATATGTTGATTGCACCAGAATCAACAAAAGTTGAGTTCTCTCAACTGATGAGCCAAAGCATGTACTATAACTATCTGCTCATCACGTTTTGCGTGTCTGTGCTGATTGATGAAAAGTAGTTGATATCTGTAATGATCCGAGATGAAGCTTGAACGGATGGTACTGTTGCAGAAGTGGTCGATGCAAGAGTGAGGACTGTATTGATTGTTTTTTGTTAAAGCTCTGTTTGCCAATGAAAGCTGCTACTCCTTCCATGTCCACTAAATATACAAAGCGCATTTCAAATAAACACTAGCAGGTCTCCGTGTACCAGTTCCGTCGATGCTGATCACTTACAACTGCCTGAACCACAACTGTAAGCGCTCTGATCCTGTCTGAAGCAGCCGGTTGCACAACTGACTCGAATGCAAATCTGGTTACGCCATCAATATCATGGTCGATGTCAACCCACGTGCTGAACACCGTCTTTCGTTCACTAAATATTACCTTATTGAGAAATAATCTGTAATGGAGTAAATTTCCCATTGAAATATGCACAATATGAAATTTACCCAACTTTATAATGTAGAGTAAAATCCAGACGGAAACCCCGGAAGAGTGATCATCAGTAGGGCTAGTCTATCAACACCTGCGAATATGTCATGAGAAACTGAATCAGAGTAATTCGTGACTCAATGAATAGCCATGCAGCTTATCAAGTGCTGCAATGAACGCGCGGATCAGTTTTGATATGGTGGTGTTCGCTCGATATAGCACCGACCCCTTCAACAGCAAAAAAAGCTTTCAGCGCCTATGATGATACAGATTAAATTACCTCATGAGTGCACCCGAGCATCCGATCCCGATAACAGGAAAGCACATGATGCTTACAACGCATTCGGCTCGAAGAAGCGACACCAACACGCTTTACAGCATACCGTTTGATTGCGACACGAAATAGTGGTTGCTACGTGTGACTGATAAAATTGAAGTTGATAGGTGATGTTATGGCCGTTGCACGGCCGTCGGCATTTAAGGTCAAAACAGTTGGTAGTCAGAATGTAACGGGGCACACCCTTGCGTAACTTAACGCAAGGGTTTTGGGTGCCCCGACAGACGTACACGTGGCAAGCGAGGAAGCGTAGGTAGGGCAAAAGTAGAGCTGTTATATTAATATAATTAAGTCTTTAAACTACTGTCTCTTCGTTTGACTTAGTTTAACTATACTAATATAACTGGATGTATGGTGACGTCTCGTCACCACTCATTGCGCGCGTCTTGCGGCGATTGGTGGGTTGATATCATCACGATATCAACCAATGAACAGACCCTTTGGTCGACCCTTCAATATCACCACTTTGGTGATATTGTTTAAAGAATACCCATCTTTATATTCTTTATTGTCACTTTCCTTAAAGTGACAATTTCATGGAACGGGCTGCCCCGTTACATCACCCCCCTTAACTGATAGTCACCGTGTGACTATCGAAAATATGGAGGCCACCCGTTGGCCACCATTGGGACAGGGAGCACTTGTTGGGTCCGTTCCATTCACTTTCCGCTTGACCTCGCATAGTTAACATGTCTATGCGAGGTGACTCAAGACCCACACAGCCCGGTGCTGTGCCAGCCTCTGCGGCAGACGATTCTTCGTCTGCTGCCCCTTCTTCGCCTGCAGCAACAGGTGCTGCAGGTGCACGCGGTATCACACCGCGTGCGCACGATGACCCTGATTTATAGGTCATCTACTCTGGCGAGTCAGACGTGTCTGACTCGGGCAATGCTCCAGAGGCGTCTTGCTCACCGGCGACGCCTCAGTATTCGCCAAGACCACTGCCGAACGAACGGACTCGTGATTTGCATCACAGTCTGTTCGGCAGTGATGATGATGATCAGGGTGGTGAGGAATTCTTTTCCTCACCACCGCCGGCTCGTGCGTCTTCGCACGAGCGTGATGACGATGGCGCGAGCCGTCGTCAATCTGGGAGACGTGGTACCGACAAGGGTACCACTGTGAAGCGTGATGAGTCGAAGCCGTGGCGTTTGCCCGAACTGCTCATCAATAGCCTGTCTCACGAGACAGGCCAACACCATCGAATACCCTTATTCGATGCAACCGAGCTTCACGGCTTGAGTTCCAGCGCGAAGAACTTTCGCGCTGAAGAAGATTTTTATCTCGATGTCTTCCTTAGACATCGATGGTACAACAGCAACCAAAAGCGTGACAAAACATCGCTTTTGGCTGCGTGGAACGCGTTCGTCCAAAACGTAAAGAATTTTGGACGAGAAGGGTGGCTCAAGAAACTTGAGGCGACACGCCTCAGGTTCGAAAGGCGAACGCCAACCGGTGCTAGGTAACGGTTGCATTGTTTATCGAGTGAGGCAGGCATTCCTTGCCTCACATGGGGAGACCCTTGTGCGAGTTGTGCTGACAACTCGCAACGTGCGCAGAGCGACGTGTATTCCCTAGATTCGCCCTGGGGAAGAGCACACATCTCGGTTGAGATGCGTGACGCGATTGCGAACTTGCAATCCGTCTACAAGCGCCTAGGGCGCGTGTTTACCGATGGGCCACAGGACTCATCGGATGGGTCTCGTCATACTGGCGGACGAGACCTTCAACATCCATCAACAGCTGAGAGCGGGGCTCCCAGCTGTTCCAAGAGGGTGGATACCCCCGCCACTGGACGAGGTAGCTCGTCCTTGATCCTGAATCGTCACGGTGATTCAAGATACGCTCCACTAGAAAGCGTTGATCGCCGTGAGCATCCACCAAAGGATGTGGTGGAGGAGGAAAGACCTCCTCCAGATGATTCGGTTCACCATCTCGACCCTTACGAGATGGATCGCGCAATCGATGAATTGCGCGATGACTTGAAGCACGAGCGCGACCGGCGCTACGCTTTGACTGATACCGTGCGGAAGAACCGCAAGGATCACGAGGCTGATCGGGCGAGGGATCGCGCCGATTATGCCACAGCGCAGCTTCAGGTCGAGCGGGATGTCCGCTCCCTATTCGGCGAGCTGGCGACAGCTCGCGGGGAGATATCTCGGTTGAGT